GCAGTTTTGACATATATTACGTAAAATTTCACGAGGAATCGTTTGGATATGTCAAAATTAATTTAAAATGGTCGGCTGGTTTTCAAATTTGAGTTTTAAAATTTGAAGGTCACCAAAGGTCATTGACCTATACATCATTCGATTGGTCTTGACGTGGGGATCAACTTTGGTCATTATCAATTTTTACCTAAAATCATCAGGGACGAAGTTAAATGCGATTATAATGTCGACCCTGCCTTCGGAGTTGCAAAAAACCATGTTTTTTAATATTCTTATTTATTTTTAAATTTAACAAAAAATAACCTCATCGCAGTTTTGACATATATTACGTAAAATTTCACGAGGAATCGTTTGGCTATCTCAAAATTAATTTAAAATGGTCGGCTGGTTTTCAATTTTGAGTTTGAAAATTTACGTTCACAAAAATTGACCTTGACCTTTGACCTACAATTTTGCTTTTAATAGAATAGTTGTAGAGCTTGCTGAGACGAGCTCAACCATACCCGGAAAATTGTTCTACGACCACTAGAAGCTGAGATAATTGCGTTTTTTGATTTTTTCAAAATGTCCCATAAAACCCGCAATTTTGAAAATTTTTTGATAAAAATTTAGGAAACTTGCGTTGGAACTAAGATGATCAAGTGTTGTAAATCTCATATTGATATCTTTAACTTGGGGCGGGGTATGTGAGAACAGAAAGAATTGGACTTGGCTAATTTGCAAACGTTTTGAACTCTAATTATTCCTCTTAATTCATAACTAAATTAAGATTATTGCATTGTTGGACTACTTCTCGAATCCGGAAGAATTAAAATTGTTGAATATTCAAAATGTGAGGCCAGAGTATATAATTAAGCAGTATTCAAGAAATGTTAATCATGAATATATGAGCTCGTCCAGGATGTGCAATTACGCACAAGTGAAATTAAAACATTGGCCGCGGCAGTAATTTTTTTTACATGGGAAATTCTGGAAATCGCGGCGAGCAGAGGCTACTCTCTCGCGTCGATCCTCCTTCGCGCTCTTCAGCACGTAATTACCCTTGACAGTTTGTGCTGAATGTACACATTTTATGTTGACACGTCGCAGCTCTTAAATTGAACAGTTTCATTTGCGGCACAATTGCAGGCAAAACAAGAAACCCGACGACGACAATTATTATCATTTCTCTCTCCTCTTTCTGCTCCTTCGAGCAGCTCTCTCATTATGACAAAAATTTCAAGCGGCTAATTAAGCGAGCACGTCCACTCATTAGGCCGTACTTTCGTAATTGCGTAATAATATCAAACCTTTTCATATTACTCGTGAACGATTCAAGACTTTTCTTGCTCTCCGAGCACATACAACATCGGACCGGTATAATCAGCAGCCGAGCGCGAGAGTCATTAACTTGTGCTGCTCATTTGCCTAAATAAAAATGTACAAATGTGTGTTTTAAAATAATGGTATTCACGGACACGACTCTCTCGGAAAGAGAGGTGATAAGCCTCTCTATAGTTTACAGAAAACGACGTGGATCTACGGAAAAGACTTGTATATATGCTCGATATCGCTCTGCACTTTCCTGCAGAAAACTAACACACACGAAACGCCCAAGAAAGCTCGAGCCAGTTACAAGCGAGATGAAATTTATTCCGCGCGCTCTGCCTATAATAATCACGGGCCCCGATATATAAAATGAGACGAGTGTGCACTTTGCATAGGTCGCGCGGGTTAATCCTCGCCATAATCACGCACGCGGGGAGAGCAGAAAGGTGATCGAAAAGTATGCGCTTTATGAATTACAAACGCGAGAGCGCAGGGTGATAAATCAGGGCGAAAGGTGTCATTAACGCCGACTAATGTCTTATTGAAAAGTTTTATTGCGTTTTGAACGAGGTTCAATTGGCCCCAGCACTTTGTGAAAACAAAAAGCTTTCTATTAATAAGGGTTTTCACTTGATATTCGCAATGAGCGTAAATCTTTCAAAACACGGTTTCCATCCTTTAATTTCATATTTTTTTTTTGCCTCAGTAATTAATTTTTATTGCGTCACTCTAGCAGCTACCACTTTTAAAAATCGGCCGATCTATCTATACCGGCTGGCGAAAAATGTTCAACTCGGACCGTAAAAAGGCTTCTAATTGGATCGCATTCCGCACGCAAAGTAATGGTCCAATTAGAGGCCGGACGGCTGCTTAAGCGCGAAATAACGTCGGCGATTTTCACGGATGGCACCGCAAAACTCCTCCTTTATTTTCTTAATGCATCCCTCTCTCTCTCTCTCTCTTCTCTGAAGAAAGATCAGTCACCCGAGACGTGCAATAAAAATCGGCAGGGATTTAATGAACTCGGGATTAATTGCCCCTTTTAAATTAGCATTCGTACATTTTCGCGAATAACGAGCAACTTTTCGGCGGGCTAATTGGTAGGAAATTCTCTGCATACTCGACAGCAGCGGTCTGTCCACCGAGAGCAGGAATGCCAACCTCACTGTCCAGTCGATCACAACTCGTCGTTAGGCCAAAGGAGAACAAAGGACCATTTTGGGCCTCGCCAAATGCACGCGCGGAATGCGAGAGATCAGTTCCCAGCAGCAGATGTCCTGCGGAAAATGCAAAAACTTTTTTCGAATCTAATCTCCGTCTTATTTCTTTGTCTCGGAATTATCATGTTTAAAAAGCTCATTGCATTCCGCCGAGATATTTTTGCGCTAAAAATTTTAATTAAATTAACGAGCAACTGTATATATGACAAAAGAAAGAAAGAAAGAATCCATCACGAAATTCCGTACGATGACAAATCCCAGATAAAACGAGATTCCTTTTCCGTCCCTTTAAAACGGATCAAATGACTTCTGAGCCGAAATCCTCAAGATTTTCGATTTTTTTTTTTTATACATTCACATAAGAAGTGGCTGCTGAGCTGCGGTCTGGAGCTTTTTATTATCACGAGGGGCCCGTACGGAATTCTATATCTTCTATCCATCACGAAGTCAAGCGGAACAAGATCAACGTGACACTCGGTAACCTTATAATAATAATAATAATACGAAATGGGCAGAAAAAGCCAAGAGAGGAGCGCGTGACACTTTCCTCTCCAACTTTTTGCAGAGGAAGGCGATACTTTTGGTCGGGCCGGCTGCTCGGTGCGCGCCAAGCACAAGATTTCGGCGAGATAATGAGAAAATTGGGTTGTTACCGTTTTGAGAGAGCCGTGAGGGCGACAGCAGTTGTTGTTTCTGCAGCCGAAGACACGACATCATTATCTCTCTTCACACACACAACTCTCGCCTGCTGGCCACCTTGCGTTTTATATAACGTGTGTGTGTGCTCAGTTAGTTAGGAATCTCTTCATTCGCCCATGTGTCACGATATCCACCCTACATCTCACTTCGCCGCTGCTGAGAAAACGACCCGAGAGCAGTGCGAAAATAACGCCGTGTGTCGCTGCATAATTGGCCACCAACAAACCTCTCTCGCAGCAAACTTGAAGAAGAGAGAGAAACTTTGTTGCTCCTCGGCAAAATTTGAAGCAAAAGTAATCTTTGAAATGTGCAATTTTCTTCTGTGACGACTTAAAAAGCAGGTCAAATGCGTTTCTTTGTATTAAAAATGTCATCAGTTAAATCAATAAAATTATTATTTGTGCCAAATAATCAATTCCTCAATACGATGACAGTGAGTTAAATTTATTATATATTCACATTAATTGTCATTTAATTGAAGTTTAAAATTATATTTATTTTTGAATAATAACATAATTTTTCTTTATCATCATCATTCATCATTTAAATAAAAAAAGACATGGGCAATTGCATTCTTAATAAAAAAAATAACAGTAAAATTATTTAAATCATATTTTAAGAGGAATAAAATGAAATGAATTAATTATATATTCACTTTATTGTTAGTATCAAACATTTTATTTTAAAATAATTAATTGTTAAAAAAATTAAAGTTGTAAAAAAAGTTAAATAAAAAAAATTTGATTTGGGGATCTTTCAATAAATTTTATAAATATAGCTGATCAAACATTATAGACCTAAAATATAAATTTCAACATAATTTGGAGGTGCCGTTTTTATCTAAAGCTCGGCTCTTCGGTTCTTCTTGTCCTTCAGCAGCAGAAGCTGCTTTAATTATTGGTTTGCCTGCTGGAGCATCTTTCTTATTCGCCACAGGTCTTTTCTCTCTGTGCGCCGCGGTTTTTTCTCCCGAAGCAGCAGACGAATATTATTGTTGTGAAGTATGGCAGTTGTATGTCATTCCGCGCAGCCATATAATAAGCGCCGTGCGCGCATCGGGTGTGTGTTATTATTAAATCGCAACAACCTATACTCTTCATTCTTCGGAAGACATATATCAGCTATCATTATATTCGTTCCCAAGCGACCTTTATCAATCTGACTGCGCGCAGCACAAGCACCCCTCAATTAAAATAATTCCGCACCGCCGGTTTAATTGTTCCGAAAGGATATTTATTATTATATTATTGTACATATCAAGTGGCCGCGCGCGCTTTTGTTTCGCTGTGATTAACGCGCCTCTCCGGCTGGGGAAAAAGATTTTTAATAATAATGGCGAAAATGAGTATGGAAGTGCGAGCCTGCAGGCCAAGTTCGCTCATTATTAATTGGTTTTTACAAAATAATTAGTACATGGAAGCATCTCGGAGTGATGAGTTGAAAGGGAAGGACGTTCGCTTAATTTTTTCCATCCTCTTGTTAAAATTTTTCTCTTGCGGCCAACGAGGGCAAATTGCAGACATTTAATAATAATTTTGTATTGGATATAACAGCGAAATAATTACCTGAGCATTAATTTAGCCAACAGAAGCCGATAAAGTTCAACAAGGGCATTTAATAACGAGAGCCAATTTGATGGAAAAGGAAGGAGCGCCGGCGATAAAATAGATTGGAAATTAAAAAAACGGCCGCCGATATATCACGAGGGTATACAGAGAGGAGAAAAACCCAATTTTAATATAAATTGGCCGCCTTCGAAATTACACACTCGCATCAGGCAATCAATCATCCCTCACGTCAATCACGAAATTAACCGGAAACTCCTTTACAGTTTTTTTTTGCCGTAAAAAATCTCCAGAGGAAAAAAATTTGAGGAATGTTGCAGTGCGAGAAATGAAGGAATAAAAGAAAGAAAAACGGCTAGTAATTATCACGCAGGTTGTTATTAGAATCTCTCGCAGATATATTCGGATCGGCTCGGGGCGATCCGACTGCCTCAGCAGCACACACGTACCAATTTGGAATAATTAAAGCCGGGCTGGGTGAACAATTATATATAAAACTGTAAGCTCGGCGCAGGGGGCGAGCCCCGCAGCATAAATAATGCTGCCGTACACCTGAGGAGTTATTATCTATCTATGTTGGTGTGGAATAATTATTTTATTCCTCTCTTAATTTGTTTGTTTTGACTGTGGCTGTGTCATCGGAGAACTTCATTGTTTTTTTTATTATTATTATTCAATTAATTTTCGGCTTACAATTAAATTCATTTTTTAAGGGCTTTCTTTTTAATTATTCTTTTTTAATTTCTGGCCATTGTTTTAAGTTGAATTCTTACAAATTAATCTTGCCTTTATTTTAAATTTAAAGTAGCTTTAAATTTACAAATAATTAGTATAAATTCAATTGGAATTAGCTTGTAAAATTCATGGTATTCTATTTCGATACAAGGGAATTTATAAAGGCATTTTAGAATTCAACTGCAGATTCACAGAACTTTCTAGATGCATCTAGAAAGTTCTCAATGTAAATCAAATGGGTGGGTGGGTTTTGCGCGACCCTCCCAGGGCTGCTACCCGCGCTATAAAAGGCGCTCCGTCCGCTGGCTCGATGCAGAAGGCTGACTGACCTCAGAGAAATCAGAGGTAAAGCTTCGACACTCGAGCCAGCTGACGGAGAGCATTCAACACTTTGCTCTTTGTTCGCAGGACACCTGGACTTCCAGTGCAGTTCCGGACACCCGTCCGAACCCTTCGCACTCGTCCGAGCCGTCCCAAGGCCCCGACCGCTGCCTTTGTCCCGACGCTGTCTCGTCCGAGGACAGCCGGAAGGCCGACCGCGTCCCGAGCCCCTCGAGCGGCACGCCTGTGTCCATCGTACTGTCCGGGGTGTGGCCGAGCCGTCCGAAGCCGTACGGAGCAGCTTTGCCAGGTAAGAGAAATTACAATTGTTTCTCCCTGAGGCCTTCTTTTGGCCAAAAGGTCAAACCACTACGTGAGACGGAAGTACAGCCGAGTGACCCATTGTTTTTGTCCCCAGCTCCTTCCTGTCCGAGGAATCGGGCGCCGACGTGGCACGCCGCCAGCGAGCGCTCGGACGAAGGCGTCCGAACGTCCGCCGCCAGAGACCCGCACGCCGTGGGCCCCGGCCGCGCCGAGAGCCGCCGCCGACCTGCAGGGAGCCGTCCGGGTTCCCAGCAAGGACGTTTCCAGGGCAGCCTGCCGGCCTACCCAGGGAACACCGCTCCCATTTGTTGATTTTTAAGTGACACTATACGGACAATTTCGAGCCAGTGAATTTACCCTATCCAGCCAGAATTGTTGTGAATACAATAAAGCCCGTGTGTAAGCCAACTTACATTGTTTTAAACAATTACCAATTAATCATAATAATTTACACAATAGAAATTACTGAACAATTACCCATTAATAATTTATTAAGCAATTAAATAATGTCAGTATAATCATATGCAAACCCCTTACTTGCAACTTCTTATTATCATTTTGGTTTGCAATAAACTAAATTTGTAATACCAATTGGCGATCCTGGCACTCCTGGGGATTATACTGACAAACAAAATAAACAATTAAATTACAATTTACACAATTTTTACAACTTTATTTTGTTAAAATACAATGGCAGACAAAGAACAACTGTCTCCTTTATTTTTAAATCAAATTTATTTTGAACCCCTGGCTTGTGAGCAGACAACAACGGGGTGTGACCCTGGAGGGTGTGACCCTGGAAAGACTCTACAGCTGTACAAGTCGGACGACAACGACCCAATTGCACAAATTTCCCTCCCACTTCAACAACAACAAACACTTCTTTCTTGCCAATACCAGCAGTACACTCAGGTGGATGTCCTGCACCCTCAGGAGCACCTCCTCCCCTTGGACGGCGCATCACAGGTTGGCCAACTGCTGCCTGAACACCCAGTGTCCCACATCAATCACGACGAGGCGCCAAAACCAGACGTACTCACAGAGGGACCTGAAAGAAAAACTGGTCAGCAAATATTTTATGACAGATTACAAACAGAAAACAGGGCAACATCACTACACACTACACAATTGTCCAACCAGACACAAAATGGGCAATATTTTCAACCCAAGTTGGACTTGACATTAATCCCTGTATTCTCTGGAGACAAAATATTGCTGGAGGATTTTCTTATCAGCATTGCTGGATTTTTCACCTACCAACAACTGCAGCCAAAAGATGTGTGGTGGTTGTTACTTTTCCGCACTTCTGGACGAGCAAGGGAGTTTGTTAAGCATCTTGACGAGGCCACCATCAGCAACTTCTCCTCACTCCAGAAAGTTTTTCAAGACGAATTTGAGCCGCCAGTAAGCACCCTGCAATTGCACAGAAAATTTGTAAAAGCCTGTCAGCTTGAGGGGGAAAGTTCAGAGCAATTTTACTTACGATTGAGAGGGCTGGCAGACGAATTGTGGCACCATGAACAACCCATTGTTGGATTAAGTTTAAAACAAAACTTTGACATTAGAGAAGCGGAGTTCCTGCGCATTTTCATCCGTGGCCTACGAGTCGACTTTTATTGGCAGGTGTACATCCAGGAACCAAAATCAATTCTTGAGGCACGCAAAATCGCCATTCTCGTTGAGGAAACTGCTAACAGCATTAAGGAAAGATTAGATGAAGACTTCAAGCAGGCAAACGAACCAACTCACCAATACTGTCCTCCAACCCAACGAAGAGCAGTAAACCTTCCTCAATTTTATGCTTCCCAGAACCACTCCCCAACAAGCCAGAGCTGGCCAGGACCATCGGCTTCTGCTCCAAATTTGCATTACTCTTCGGCAATCCTTCCTCCAGTCGGTCTCTTTGACTTCCAGCATTGGCCACCTGCGGCAGTGCTTCCACCACTTCCGTCAAATTTCCACGAGAAGGCAGAATTCAGTTCATCCAGAATACCTTCTCACCTGAGGGGGAGCGAGGAAAATGTAAATGAAAGTGACGAAAATTTTGCAGAGAATTTATTTACCAACCATACTTGCAACTCCAATTCTTGCCCTCACTTCTCCACACACTCAGACAAGACGGATATTGTCCATGCCCACCGACCATCCGCCAGCAACGACCACGTCCCTTCTGCGACTCGTAGAGAGAAACGTCGACGGAAAAGAAGATTCAAGCGACGACAACAAAGGGCTTCTAAAGCGATCTTGCCGTGCCGCACAGTGTCCAATCAAGTTTACGAAGACAAAATTTCTGCAAATGAAGAGCAAATCTTGAGTGCATTGGGCCGGTTAATACTGCCAAAACTTACCCCACCTGCTGACCACATCGCCCAGCGTGCATTTACTCGCCGACGGCGCCGCCGACAACCGACAGATAAGGCCGAATTTGCCATTAAAACTCCCACACAAAAAACCACAACGAGTGCGGCAAATAAACAACGTGGGCCAGCTGTTATCTGTGGCGGCCAAAAAGTCAATGAACTTTTCGCAAGAGGGGGAAGAAAAATCAGCAGGAGAGAGATGAGAGTGGCGCCACAACCAAGTTCGCCATCAAGCCAGGAGAGGGAGAAGGAAAAATCAGCGCACAAAGAACCAAGACCTCGCCCTCGCCGCATGCGAAAAACAACAACAACAAGGCCGGATTCACGCGTGATTATGGTGCCCACGACGTTTTTCCTTGAGGACAGCGCCAGCTCAGGATCTGGACAGTCTACGTGCAGTACGTCGTCCTGGCAATCGTCCTGGAGATCATCCAGTCACAGCTGACCACAGCCGCCAGTCAAAAGAGGGGGATTTGGTGTGGAATAATTATTTTATTCCTCTCTTAATTTGTTTGTTTTGACTGTGGCTGTGTCATCGGAGAACTTCATTGTTTTTTTTATTATTATTATTCAATTAATTTTCGGCTTACAATTAAATTCATTTTTTAAGGGCTTTCTTTTTAATTATTCTTTTTTAATTTCTGGCCATTGTTTTAAGTTGAATTCTTACAAATTAATCTTGCCTTTATTTTAAATTTAAAGTAGCTTTAAATTTACAAATAATTAGTATAAATTCAATTGGAATTAGCTTGTAAAATTCATGGTATTCTATTTCGATACAAGGGAATTTATAAAGGCATTTTAGAATTCAACTGCAGATTCACAGAACTTTCTAGATGCATCTAGAAAGTTCTCAATGTAAATCAAATGGGTGGGTGGGTTTTGCGCGACCCTCCCAGGGCTGCTACCCGCGCTATAAAAGGCGCTCCGTCCGCTGGCTCGATGCAGAAGGCTGACTGACCTCAGAGAAATCAGAGGTAAAGCTTCGACACTCGAGCCAGCTGACGGAGAGCATTCAACACTTTGCTCTTTGTTCGCAGGACACCTGGACTTCCAGTGCAGTTCCGGACACCCGTCCGAACCCTTCGCACTCGTCCGAGCCGTCCCAAGGCCCCGACCGCTGCCTTTGTCCCGACGCTGTCTCGTCCGAGGACAGCCGGAAGGCCGACCGCGTCCCGAGCCCCTCGAGCGGCACGCCTGTGTCCATCGTACTGTCCGGGGTGTGGCCGAGCCGTCCGAAGCCGTACGGAGCAGCTTTGCCAGGTAAGAGAAATTACAATTGTTTCTCCCTGAGGCCTTCTTTTGGCCAAAAGGTCAAACCACTACGTGAGACGGAAGTACAGCCGAGTGACCCATTGTTTTTGTCCCCAGCTCCTTCCTGTCCGAGGAATCGGGCGCCGACGTGGCACGCCGCCAGCGAGCGCTCGGACGAAGGCGTCCGAACGTCCGCCGCCAGAGACCCGCACGCCGTGGGCCCCGGCCGCGCCGAGAGCCGCCGCCGACCTGCAGGGAGCCGTCCGGGTTCCCAGCAAGGACGTTTCCAGGGCAGCCTGCCGGCCTACCCAGGGAACACCGCTCCCATTTGTTGATTTTTAAGTGACACTATACGGACAATTTCGAGCCAGTGAATTTACCCTATCCAGCCAGAATTGTTGTGAATACAATAAAGCCCGTGTGTAAGCCAACTTACATTGTTTTAAACAATTACCAATTAATCATAATAATTTACACAATAGAAATTACTGAACAATTACCCATTAATAATTTATTAAGCAATTAAATAATGTCAGTATAATCATATGCAAACCCCTTACTTGCAACTTCTTATTATCATTTTGGTTTGCAATAAACTAAATTTGTAATACCAATGTACTTGCTCGTAAAAAGATGAGGCAAAAAGTTCCAGCAGGAAGGTGCTCGCAATTAGCATCTCATCTGCCGGCCGGCCGCGCTCTCAATTAAATGCAGATTTCTAGTCGTACTTTTCGAGCTGCGCTTTTACAATTCCGAGCACGCCGAGCGAGGCCGGAATTTTAATAATATAATAATCATTTCGCTCTTTCTGCGAGCCGCGGCCTTTTTTGTTTCCGATCTTAGCCGCGAGCGGTCCGCTCCGACACCAAATTGCCACCGTTTTCATAGATTTCGGTGTAAATTGGCCCATTTTCTCTCTCTCGTGAATTATGTTAAATTAGGCGTTTGTTTGGGCGCCTTTTGTGCCATAAAGGAAATTTTTTCACACACAAAAGTGTTTCTAAATTCGGGAATAAAAAATAACAAGTCGCAGCAGCAGAATTACAAAATTCTCAATATTAATATTGATTGAATAAGCAAAAACACATTAACAAAAATATTTAAATGAATTTTTCTATAGAGCAACTTTTGAAAGAAAACAATTTCCCACAATTTTGCAAAGAGCATGTCAAGCAAATTTGAATTTTTTCCCCGTAGTTTAGGCTGCAATGTGGCGAGTAATCACATATATATCGCCTCTTGGTAAATACTCGGGTTACATATGAGTTTCAGTGAGCCTATTTTTCTCCCAACCAAATTTTTCACAATTGATTTTCTGACTTAACCGGAGAAAAATAAAATGAATTGAATTCTAAAACCATATGTGCTAACGAAAGATTATAAATACAATAGAAAAAAAATGAACATGCAGTTGTTATGAAATCGGTTTAATTTGACCACATTAAATATTTTCCATAATTATTTAAAGGCAACAATGTAAATCACTTTTTGAACAATGGTAAATCCCCCCTTTTTATCTACCAGTAAGTGTAAACTATTTCACTCAAGTTCATCTTTTGATTTGTCCACCAATAAATTAATAAATTATATTGTATCTAATGACAACTTTTGAATATTTTTAAATCTAAAATGAATAACCAAGTTAAAATTTCTGCGTGCAGCAATCATGATCATGTAGATGAAAGCCACGTTATATACTTGATGTTTTCTAAAATTAAAGCAAAATCTTGATAAATAAAAGTATAATGAGCCAAAAATTGGAATTATTTACAAAAAGTAAAATAAAATAATGTATTAATTATATTAAATTATAATGAGAATTTAAAAAAAATGATTTTATTTTTAATTTCATCATAATTATATTATTATTTTATAAATATTAGCACATAAATTAAGAACAGTGTTATCATTTAAATGAAAAGAGTGACGATCGCTATGGAAATATAATTTTAGCTCATTTGTAGCTAATTCATCGTTATTCCCATTTATTTGAAATGAATTGAACCCTTGCTTTAGTATGGAACTATTATATTTTTGAAGCCAATTCTTATTCTGAATATACCAGATCTTTTCCGATTCCATTCATTAATTAACCTTTGCCACTTCACATTTGCAATTGTCAGCCTAAAAGAGCCGCTTGCCTTTTCCATAATAATCGTTTATCTCCTGCCGCTAGTAATGGATGATCCGCTCGGGTCACGCCACCTGCCCGTTGTGCGTCGGCTGATGTCATGGACAAAGTGTAGCACCGCAACCGGAGGAGGTCAGCAATATCCTAGCTGGAGCGAAATTAAAATGCTAACGAGATTAGGCGGCCCGCGCGCCAGAGTTAGAGAGAAAAGGATCGGCAGATTGGATTTTTTTAATAAGCACACACGTGAGAGAGGGACTGACCCCCGTTCAGAGGGCCCACGCAAAGTTTCTCGACCCATGAAAAATTTCCTTTGTTGATCCTGCACCATTACTTTGAGCAGGGCACCCCTTGGAATATGTACAGATTACATCCGTTTTCAATTACAAAATTTATTCGTGTGGGTGCAGTTTTCGGACAGCAAGAGAGACTGATTTGTTTGCTATGCAAATGAGATTCACTGCCGTTCATTCATTCCCATTTTGCTTTCAGTCAGATTTACTAGTAAGATTTGCTGCTTTCAAGTTCTTAACTTAAAATATTAATAATTTATAAGCAAAAGACAAATAAATCAATTTTTTTTTGTAAAATTTAATAGTTGCAAATGAAATGAGTCATTTTTGAAAATAGTTTGAAGCCGTTTATTGCTTTTATATTCCGTCTATAGGCAAATGATTTGCAGCTCGTTACCCGTGTGGGACGATTACCCGCACATGAAGGGCACATTTCCATTTTTATTAATGGTAATTGCGAGTCTCTCCCGCAATACAAACTGTAACTGGACGTTTGCTCTTCTCGTTTTCATTTCGTTCTACCGAGAAAAGTCGCGGCGCAAAATATTTATTTATGAACGTTCAAGCACATTTCCCGAGAATCTGCTTCCAATAGAGTAGAGAGAGGGAACCATTAGAAAATAATAATTATAAATCACGCTACTTTATTTTTGCTATTAAGTTGTCCGTTTGCCGATTCCAGCCGCGTATAATATTCCAAAGGCAAGTTGATGGTAATGAATGCAGAAATTTTATTGCAGCTGCCGCCGCGACGAGATACTTAAATTGGTGCATTACATTTATTCTGTTTGCGTTCAAAGCTCGTAAATTGGTGCCCAGGAGCCGCTTTAATTGCTGCTCTTTAATAAAAACTTCTTCTTTTTAACCCTCTCATGTACGTGAATTTAAATATATACTTTCGATTTTATATTGTTGTTTTCTCATGCAGAAAGAGGGAAGTGTGGGAATTTCTGTCCGACATCCAAATGCTTTTAGCCGCGCGGACGAAAAAAGAAGGCCGATAACGATCCGGTCCGGAGGACTCAATTAATTATATTGTAAATCGGCCCGTAATATGATGGATCTGAGGTGTCAATTCAATAATCGTGATAAACTCAGTCTCACAAAAACACACTGTCTCTCTTTCTACGGGTGCTGCATGCCGCCTTTTAAACTTTTCTTCTGGCTGCTCATTATAAACAGTAGGTCCGGCCGCGCTCGCTCTCCTCCAAAACAAGCTCCGTAATGATCTCTAAGACACGCCGGTGACATTGTGATTAAGCGTCCTCTGCCGGCGGCCGCGCGGTCCCCACGCTTTTTCCACTTGCAGCAAATGTAAAAGAGGCTACTATTTTATTTTTCGTAAATTAGAAGGAGAGGTCAATAAAGTTCCCCGCGCGTTGTGACAGCAAACTTCTTTCGGCCGCTCGCGTAATTAATTAAGAGAGATGTTCGGTGATAAATGCGCAGTGCGACGGGCATATGGGGCCGTAAATTGGCCACCGAATGGAGAAAGAAAGGTCGGCTGCTGTGTCGAAACGAAAATGTATGCGGCTTAATGAGCCGCAGGACCTAGTTGCTCATGGGCTTCTGGGGACCATTGTTTTTTATAGCGAAAAAATTCCTAATAGGAAAAAAGTAGCAAACGCACATTTTGGTCCAAGTTTTTTCAGACGTCAAAAATTTCACATACCTCCTCCTAGTCAGGTGCGTTCATAGAGCGAATTATAAATTCGCACGTTAATTTGTCTGCTGTTAATACATAAATAAGCATGTTTATTTGGTAAATATGAGCAGGACCTATTTATAAATTATTCCTAGTTCGCACGGGCTGATAATTTGAATAATTTGTTATTCATTTTATCCAGCTAGACAGAAAGGGTACGTTAGTGAATTGAAAACTGCGAATTTATTGCAACTTTGTAGTAAATTTTTTAAGAATAAACTAACAGCCACTTTTAATTATTAAATTTTTTTTTTCATGACTTGTGCAATTATTGAAAATTAGGCAAATTCCTTGATATTCAACATTCAACACACTCCTGCTGCATATTTTTCAAAATTTTGATAAAATTTCCAAGATTTGAGATCAATTTTTAATTTGGTTGTTGACCATTTTAAAATTATATTTATAAATAAACTTTAAAATTTTGAAATTTATTTTTTTGCTATTAATTTTTTATATTTTTGGCAATCTGATATTGTTCAGAGGATTGAAATCAGTGATTTTCAAATATAAAACGTACCTTTTTACAAGCTTCGGATGAGCGTCGCGCGCAGCACGACGTCCACTATGAATGACATAGCCATACATCATATTTTCCGAGCTTCTTTTTCCTCTGTTAGGAATTAATTCACGTTAAGAAGCGGCGGGAGTTCTAACTTTTTTTCTCTCTCTCTCTCTCTCATTCTCGTCTCGTAATAAAATTATACGTTTACCCACCCGGCGGTATTGACAAAAAATAAAAGTAGCAGCTCAGAAGCCGAAAAGGAATTTTATATGCGCGCAGACGAGGCTGGCGGACGCCGGACGACTGCTAACTAGGCAGCCCGGTCGCGCCACAAAAAGAACAAGAGCAACCCTTTCGTCTTTTGGACACTATGGAATGTTACACCTCGCCCGTCTGCGCTCCTGGCTGCGACAAAAAGCAGAGCAGCAGCGCCTTACGCGAAAGGCAATTTCGGCCGCGGCTAATATTAATGTGTCAATACTCGGAATCGACGGCGAAAAACGGCGCGATGCTTTTTGCAACTTTACTGTAAACGGCGGGAGACAAATAATGCGCGGCACCGATGCTGGCGGATTACGTGGAATTCGCGAGATCGACCGCAAAAACCTGCACGCTTTGCCACCCCAAGACTTTTATCATTTCCAACCGCAAACGATTTTCTGGAATTATTATCTAGGCAACTTGGTTCTCTATGAAAATTGGTTGGCAATTATAAAATTAAGTAATTAATTTTTAATTTCAAAATCATTACCATCATCAATTCACCAAATTAATATTTTTTTTTAACCATTTTGTAAAAATTCAATTAAATGTTTTTGTTGATTTAACAATATTCTATAAATTATAATGATTAAATAAAATCTTAGTGTACATATTAAAATTGGATGAACACAAACAAAATTTTTAACAGTTCCATTAAAAATAAGCACAGCATCTTCAAAAAGATTATTTGTTATATTAATTATATTAATTTAGGAAGTTAAAGAAACTGTTTTAAACAAAATTGGAGTTGAAAAATTAATTGAACTAATGCATTGTTTTTACACAAGTTTGTTTGTAACTGAAAATGTATGACTGTGTCTGTGTAGAGTTGCATTCGCGATAGTCGGGGTCACAGGTCACCCTGGCGAACATGTAAATCACGCTGGCTCTGTTGTTATTGCGTCGGTCGGTCGGTTTTCTCATTCTCTGTGTCTGGCTCGGCTCGGCTGTGGCTCGTTTTCTTTTGCGCTTTTTCTACTGTGCTTTATTTAATCACCGGCCTATGGGGGGTCGAGCATGTCAGAGGCGATTTTGTACGCCGCTTTTTTATTACACCCGCCGAACACATTGTTACATTCGCGCCTTTTGTGCATTGTTTCATGCGACTCTCTGCGGGTGAAAAATTCGCTCCCTCACGAGAGCTGAACGGCATCGCCAGAGTTGCATTATTAGAAATAAAAACGAATTGCATAATTTTTAATTTTTTGTCATTCAAAATTTTTAGCGCATCCGTGTTGAAGATTTCAAATTTTTAGCACGTACCTTAATGTGTGTCATGCGGTGGTAGTAAAGGTTGGACGAGGCGGTGAATCGCTTCCCGCAGACGCCGCACTGGTGAGGCTTTTCGCCGCTGTGGATGCGCCGGTGCGTGTTTAGAGAACTTGATGTGCTGAACCCTTTGCCGCAAACCTCGCAAACGTGGGGCTTTTCACCTACGGAACAGACAAAATCCACATTTACGAAAATTAGAATTAAAAAAATGCATTTTAAGATATTAAATCATCAGATAAGCTAAAATTTGGATAAACTTTGCATATTTTTTTCAGGTAAATTTTTGCGTGTTGATCTTTTCTATACCTGTGTGGGTCCTCATGTGTCTTTTAAGGAGGGACGGTCTGTCGAAGGCCTTTCCGCACACCTCACACGGCAGTAACGTCCTCTCGCGCGGCTTCTTCACCACCACAGGAATGTTGGGATCTGTTTTGAGATTCTCAATGTCGCCAGCTGAAGACGCCGCTGAGCTCGCCGAACTGTCGCCAGACACAGACTTGTGCTCATCTGTGTCACTGGCAGGGGTCACCAGCACTCTGGACAGCAGGGACATGGACAGGTCGAGAGGAGAATCTGCGAAAAAACAAGTTCAGAAGTCAAATTTGGCCACTAAATGATTAATAATAATATATTCATCAAGCTTTTATTATCTTGGATTTCAGCACGAATTTTTATTTAAAATGTTATTTTTACTAAGAAAATAATTTTCATTTTTTAATATCATATGAAACTTATTTCACTGAAAGGACCAGCTTTTCTTGCATAATAATATTTTGTGATTCACTTTAAACGTAAAAACTTATTTTTTCTTAATTTGCTACAATTTCAAGTACTTTGTCAAAGTTTGACACATAAAAATATTTGTAAGTTAATTTTTTATAAATTAAAATATAATGAATTTCTTAAAATAATTTATATTTAAATTTATTTTTATCTCAATTTTTTAATTTTTAATAAATATGATTTCTTTTGCTTAATAAAGTCCAAATTAGTTGTAAATTTAAAAAAAAAAATTGTTGAGATTTTATTTATTGTATTCTTGAATTCTCTATTTTATACCGATTTATTACTGAAGTCAGTAATTGATGTTGAGTAGTAGTTTTTTACGGATTGATGAGTATTATTATGAGATTAATAATTAACATTAAACGCTGATTAAATTCAAGACAATTAAACGGGGCATCTGATCCTGGATTTCAGCAGGTATCAATAATTTAAAAGTTATATATGTTTAAAAAAGAAACTGAAAAAACTTGAGAATTATGAAATTTATTTCACATGTAATTTTTACTTGCATATTTGAGATTTAATCAAAAAGCAACAATTAATTGGCGAATCGCGGGTCGTTTGATGTGGACGGGTCCGGAGGAAAGACCCGAAAGGCTGATGGATGGTTTTCTCGCGGCGTTCGCTGGCGTAGAAAACGCGCCGTGGAACACATATTTATATTCGTGGGAAGAGTGTACAGCCGTGCGGCATGGCTCAAAAAGAATTTGAAGAAATATTTTTACAGCGGAAAGCGCGGCTCGTCAGATTGTTTAAGCGATGTGCCCATGGCTTGTCACTTTTTTATTAAGTCCCCGGCCGCGGCTGCCGCCACATAATACGTCCGTCCTTACGACCAGAGATTCCGCGGACATCACGACACACACTACAATTCTAATATCAAACATCTTAACGAGCTGCTCTATCATGAGCTCTCTCGCTCGATGTCACACTGACGAGATCAAATCTCTCTCCTAAAGGATTAAATGTGGCTCTCTCAAAAAGCGACCGTCATTACGAATCAAAAAATTTATTTTGATCAAATTCACCTGCATGGTTTAATTATATAAATCTAACTCGCCGATTGTGCAAGACCAGCGTCGATCAAAGAGATGGGAAAAAAATGCGAAAACACGTCAGGCTGTCGTCGGACGAAGAGAAGCTCGTCATATGAATATCACCGAGGAATGCTGACGGCGGACGAGAGTGAGCAGGGGCCGAGAGAGAATTCCGCGTGACCCTCGCCATATTTCACACGACCCTTGCCTGGCCTAAGCGATATTCCCTACCTGATCCCATGTTAACGTTTGTGCAAAGCCCGCAAGTTGCTCACATAAATTTCGGCACTAAAAGTGGCGCTTGTGCGGCAAAGCCTCGGATTGTTTGACACAAAATGGCAAAAATTTCGCAAATGTAGAAAAGGTTTTATGTGTTTAATGCAGAACTTGCAAGCGCAATAATTCACTGCCGCCGACGTGAGGTAGAAATGGCATGTATTAAATTGCAAATTCCAATTTAAAGACCAAAAAGAATGGCTGGTAGAATAATTTGAATTTTTATTAAGGTACATTTTACGTACAAATTCTTTCGAAAAAAAGAGTAATTTTATTTAATCATTTATTTTTAGAGTAGATTAAAAAAAAATACCTTTTGTGTAAACCAAGAAAAATATCAGAACTTGGTTGTATAAAAAATTTCAAATATTTATTTTTGCTTAATCAGAAAGTTAGTTTCTGACTAAAATATTAATTAAATTGAGCTTTTTATCCAACAATGTTGAAAATCTCAATACTCACCTTCAAGAATGGAGTCCATGGTTCTGCGGTAGAGCGAGTTGCGCAGGAAATGCACCGCCGGCATGAAGAACAACTCCTCAGGTCTCTCCGGCAAGAAGTACACCACGAGTTCTGTGTTGGGAGGGATCATTTTGATGGCTTCGAACACAGGTTCGCCTGACGAACAGACAGACAGACGCAAAAATTACACACAATGCAAATCGACCAGCTTAACTAATCACCGGTGCTGCCGTGCGTGGTACTTGAATATTTCTCTCTCTCTCTCTCTCTCTCTCTCTCTCTCTCGTGAATAATAATATGCAAGCGTCTCTGTATTACGAATTACGATCATGAACGAGGAGCAGCGAGAGAGAGAAAAGGAGCTGCCATAAATTACACGCACGCCATAGCAGCACGGCTAGCCTCGAACTTGAATTTTTTATTTGGAAATTAGGAAGAAGGGGAGAATAAATAATGAAAGCAGAGTGTGTAGTTGGGCTTGAGGTCGCAGGTCAAGGCTGCGTCGACAAAGTCTGACCCTTTCACAATTCAAATGGTTGATAAGTAAAAAAATTAGCAATTTGTTGAAATTTTGGACATAATAAAATTAATTGCAAATAGTTATAAATTTTTATAATTAACTTCTTATTTGTATTTTTTACTTTTATTTTAAAATTATTACTTTTAAAAAAATAATGATTTTATTTTATTTTATTTGATTGATTTTATTATTAAATAAGGTTATATGTCGTATGCTAAATTTGTTTAATTATTTCCTTAATAATTTAAATAAAAAAAGCAATGTGTAGCATTGTTTGAAAAAGTAATAATATCCAAAGCAAATCAAATTTTAATGTATTGAGAAATTATGACTGTCAATCTGCTGTCAATATGAATTATTTTGAATTTTGCTTAACTTTCATGCAAGAATTACGAATTCAAACGGGACTTTTAATTTTTCACTCGACTCTGCAATTTTCCTTAATATTCAGAAATGTAAATTAAATTAATTAAAAAGTTGAGCCTTTACCTTTAACTTTGGTGCCGATTATGTTGACGTCCTCGTTGTAAGTGGCGGCGATCCTCAGAAATCGGACCCAGTTGCAGTAACGCACGCTGTGTCCGTCGCTCTCGTGGATGTCGTCGTGGCAGCCGAATCTGTGTCTGATCTGCAACAAAGGTCGACAACACCGAGTTAATTCAAATGTCCAGGATTAGCCGAAATTCTACAAGCGCGAAACAATGGAATGGAATGAGAGGAGAGTGCATGATTGAGTGAGCAAAAACTCTTTGCGCAAATAAAAATTATCTCTCATGTCATGCGCGCGGTGATTTATGTTTCGGCTATGTCACGCTGCCGACCGCAAAAAAAAACTTAAGCCAGTTCAAATGGCATCTGAGAGTCATTAAATTTACACTTTTTATCGCCACCGTCCTGCTTATTTTATGTTATATATGAACTGCACCATTTATAATTTAGAGCCCTGCACCAGTCGTAAATAAATAATCTCAACCGAAGAGTAAATATAGATAAAATTAGAGGGAAAAGCTACCGATTGGACGAATTTTATGGCTCTATCCGAGAGAGCGAGAATTTTCTCGCCATGTATATATTTTTTGCCCATTCCACCTCTGACCTTGTTATCTCAGCGCCTAGGAATTCCACACGATTTTTATACAAATTCAATTTCGTTAAAGAGGTGGGCGGATTTTTAATTTCCTAGTTTTTAATTTGCACTCCAATAGAGCCGCCAAGGGTTATAATGCCGGAATAACCTTCGGCGTAACAATAGAAAATAGAGCCCATTGTTGGCGTAATGGTGTCGTAATGAGTTCCACACAAGAGCGGGTGCATCATCGCTGAATAAAATCCAATCTACCGACACACAAAAGATCACAGGTGAGAATTGGAGATTTTTTTTCCAGAATTTCATCCCCAGCACGGAAACGAGACGAATTGAGAGGGGTGGATTTTCCTTCCCTCTCCTCAGTCTCCACCACGGCAGACAAATTGAGATCTTTTGTGCCGCGAAAATTGAAATTCTCGTTATTTGTATATTTAGGCGAAGGTAATTTCCCGAGTGTCACAATATTAATAAGCCCGAGTGAAATATGATTTCCAGCTAGCAGGCGGCAACCTCAACATTTTTTTTTCTCTCTTCGGCTGCATTGTTTGACTTTTGGTACGGTGCGAGCAGCCCACCCGCCTCCTGCTGGATTCATCTCCGCCTCCTTATTATAAACATCTCTGCTCCGAGCACAGATTCTAATTAACTTCCCATTATTTCAGCTCTTTGTGCCGCTCTCCGCTCGTCAGCATGCATACATATGGATTTTTTTATAAATATTTTTCATCTCTTCAAGCGTCAACTTTCTGCAGTTGGAATTTTTTTCGCCTTTCGTTTAGTTCATTTGCCTGGGTTTTAATTAGCCGGCGCAAATTACCTGTGCCTCTATATCAAGTTCTTATTATTTTTAATAAATACTATTTTTGAACGGCAGCTTTATATATCACGCGGACGTTATTAACCCTTTTCAAGGTTGCACACATACATATTTTTCCCATTCCCTCGGCGCAGTGAAAGAAAGAAAAGATAAAACAGCCGCGTGGACGGTGATGATGCATTGAGGCGGGCAAGCGGTGATTTAGTGCGAAATTAAAATGAAAAGAAAGATTAAAACTCGCGCGCGCGAACGAGCGACCAGCATAGAAACGGTGAATGCAAGAAATCGTGGCTGTTGATGTTGGAAATTACATCACCACCCTTCCTGAAGCAATCCACACTATACTCCTTGTTTTGCTATTATGTTAGCAGAAATTTAATGATTTATTATTATTAATGTTTTCCACATTGTTGCAACTACATTACTTAAATTCTATTGATTGTTGACAAAAATTATTTAAAAAAAAAGGAAATTGCTGGACAAAACGGAACCACCATTTGCAAAATTTTTGCTAAAACTTCCAAGGTTTAAATAATCATTTATGTGCTTTTTTATGATGGGTTGTAGTTTGAAATATACAAAAAATACACCATATTACATGCATATTGCAATTTGTCTATAAAAAGTAATATATTCTTTTATAACAAGAAGCATAAATTTTATTAAATATGATAAAGAAGAAACTAATTAAAAATTTGTTATTATTTGTTATTTATTTAGAAAAATTAATTTTTAGCCCTTAAATTAACCACTAAATTAAATATTAAACCATAATTTTAATAAAAGATAAACCTCACAAAAATGAGGCCATATGATAAAATAATTTTATACAAATCCAAAGACTCTCTTATGACATTCTCCGAGTTTTGAATATTGATCCTCCTAGTTATTTAAAACCAAAGCTCTTTTATTCACATGCCATTTTTGGCTGACATTTGACAAGGTGGGTTTACTTTTATTGACTTTGCGTTTTTTAAGCCTCGGAGTCAAATAAAAGCGTTGTCGAAGCGCGCGGCTACTGCGATTCTCCTTTGAGCAGCAGCGCTGCGTATAATAATAACTTAAAACCACAATAAAGCAGCTTAGGGTATTGAATTTTGACAGGCGTGGATTTAAATTACAATAAATCCAGAGCGCCGTAATGAGTTCTCTCGGCCGGCCGAATTTACATAAAGCACGCATACCGAGATCACAACTAGAGCTCATGACTGAGAAAGAGAAAAGTTGCCACAAGAAAGAAGCTGCTCTAATCGCATTCTAATCTCTGCCGCTCTTAGGCATTAATAAATTATCCGGCAGCTCTAGATTTTCTTTTTTTTTCTCCACTCCGGCTACCTACACTTTGCATAAATAAGCAATTAGGAGGCGGGAGTGGGGGACCTTGTGCGATTATTATTTGCCCAGTTATTTATGATAGATGTTCGCGTTCGACTTCCTAAAAATGGCGCGATAACAATCAGAGAAAAACTGTTCTCCGCGTTTGCATTCCATCAATCAAGAGCAAAAAATATATAAAGCATGATGAGGTAAGCAGTAATTGAGAAGACGTGAGAGATTTTTTTCATATTATTTTAATCCTCTCGTTGGTTGCGCACACAAAACTAATTACGCGGGCAATCTCAGCCCCATCAAGAGAGGTTAAACGCCGCAGATTGCTTTTCTTATATAAATTCTGATTGTTTCTCATTAATTTGTGGGTGTGTTTTGTGTTAATGAATTGAATAACAGCGGCGCGCAACAAGAGAAATGAGTTTTTCCTCGGGACATTATCGGATTGGAAAAGGGGCACTAATAAAATTAAAACTCACTTCACTCTTGAGAGTGTATCTCGCTCTCGGGTGAAATATTATTTTCGGTTCTCATTATGACTCGGAGAATGAACCAACCCCTTTTCCTCTGCTAAGAGTGTAGAACTAATTACAAAAGTGGGCGTGAAAAGCCATCACCCATCACCAGCAGAAACCGAAATCAAAATCTGATCTTTTTTTTTCTTTATAATTCAAAATTCACTATTATTAAAATTTGTATATTGTCATAATTTATTAGTTAAAATATTATAAACTAATTTTGCAAATTTCAGGTTAAAAAAAAACGCTTTTTTTGTAGAAATTTGATAATTTCATGTGACTTTTAATTAAGAAAAAAATTGTCTTTGAAAAAAACAAATCACAAGACTTTCCGGTGTCCTCGGCACCTGCCTGCATTGTGGCCGCGTGAGAAAATCGTCGCCCATCCGAATTTGGGCGCGCCCATTTCACGCCTCATATTCGTTCGCTTCCGTCGGCTGGTCTCGTATTATGCAAAAAAGCTGCAGGGCGAGCCATTTTTATACGCATTGCTTGGCGCCGGAGCTTATGCGGAATTCCAAGTGTCAATTTTTATCAGCGACTAATTAGGCTGCTGCAATAATTGCGGCAGATTTTCTTGTATTTCGAACCGAAACACACCCCTGCCTGAATTACGCGCATGAATGCAGAGAGAGAGGACAAGTAACGACCACCCACAATTTCGACTTCTTTCTCTCTGCGACTGCTTGGTGACCAGTTAATTACCTCGACGGGCTCGCAGATAATTGATGAAGAAAATCGTGAGTTGCCTCTCTTTATTATTCTTTTATTTGCACACACACACACACATGCACGAGTTTAATGCTGAATTATTCAGCCCAGAGACTATGCAAGCGAGCCGCGCCATCTCAAAAAAGGAATTTGTCTTTTTGTTTAGAAGCTTAATTGGTTTTTTTTTCTTTAATTGACTCACAAATGGGGATGGTTTGACTTTCTTGACAGTGAGTAATATGTATGTAATCTCTTTAATGACTTATAAAAGTAAATATACCTAAAAAAAGGCGTTAAAATGGTATGGGAAACGATTTTATTAACAAATTTCATCACACAATGTAAATAATCCACTTTGATTTTTTATGCACGAACATTTTGAAAGAAAGTAATGATTTTCAAGATTGTTAGTTGTCCTTAATACATATATAAGGAATATTTTGATAAATTATGATCATCTTGAAATGGGCAGTCATAGCTTATGTTATAGATAAATTTACATAATAGTTATAAAAATGTAATCATTTCATTTTTTTAAATATGATATTTTACAATGAACTAATGCTTATTAATAATTTTTGCAAAATAGTTCCAAACTCCATTGATCGAATTAATTTTTATTTGGGTAAATATACATTAATATAAAAACTCGCAAACAATATATTTATACATCTAAAGCGAAAATTGAATTACAATAATTTCAAATTGCATTCAATTTCACACAAAAAAGAACATTTTAAAGAAAAAAGCTTATGTAAAATAATTAAATAATTTAATAAATAAAATGAAATAAAAGTACTTTTTAAAAATTAAATAATTACTGGTTATATAAGATTGTAAAATAAAACTTAAAAAAAATAAACACATAAAACACAGTATTCTTTTTGTTAAATAAATCATTTTTTCATAGTGGCAGCAACGTCCATTGAAATCTATCTCTGTCCAAAAGTGAATACCATATATTATAATTAACAACAAAAAATTTGAGCATACTTTGAATGGTAAATTCTACGTTTCCGTGGATGTTAATTAGTATAATCGCGCGGTCAGGCAGCGAAACAAAAAAGGGTTAAATCACTGGTGCTCGCTCTCGCATATGCTATACGCGTATAGTGCACACCAACAGACCAACAAATCTCAGCAGCACGTTTGATTTACGGCGGGCG